GAATTCTACCAATGTTCTTATTGGCTTTTAAAAAAGTATATTAGCTATTTAGATTGTACATGGTGAAAAAATCAAAACATTAGCTAAATAAGAAACATTTTCATTACGTTTAAAAGCCCTAGCAGCTTCACTAATATTCTGCATTTTAAAGCGTGAAAATTCAATGCATAAATAAACGCGAAATATAAAAAAATTCAATGCATTCAATACAAACACTTAAACGTTTTTTAGACGTTTAGGTAGCTCCCAGTAGAAAAATATCAATTCAACAGCGGCCTTTTAAAGCATTCTCACTTCAATTAATTAATTAATTCCTAATTGAGTTTAAATTAAATATTATCATGTTTTTAGGGCATGAATCTGAATTGAACAACCTGATAATGCTCACTCTGGTTATTTTTTCCGTTTTTAAAAGCGCTATATGTTGAGCCACTGCATGTGACGTTTGCCATGTGACATTTTTAGCAGCAATCATTGGTCAATTTTCTTACGTTGCCATTCGGGAAGTTGTAATGAGGCTTTTTTTTGGTGCCGTGTAAGAGAAATATATATATAGATGACGCATAAATTCAAAATTCCTAAGGCATTCATTATTTCTCAATGTATAGCAGTATATCAATGAACTGAATTTACTGTTGGCTTTCAAGGGGGGGAAGGAAAAACCGTTTATTATTGTATGGACGTGGAAAACGCAGAAAAAAATTCCAAACTTTATTGGGGTAAACTTGACCGTTAACCTTTTGCCCCCCTGAAAATGTAAATTTTTTTTAACACGGTGGGGATGTAAAATGCCTTGAAAACAAAAGCTATGGAACTAAATAGGGGTAAGGCATTATTTTTTAATGGATTAACTGAAATTACATTTTACCCATTGAGAGATGTAAAAATACTTACATTGAATAAAAGGTGGAGAAAAAAAAATTCGAACCATTTAGGACTAAGTCACTATCCATTAATATAAAAATTAAATTTAACTTTAGCCCCTGAGAGATGTAAAAATACCAAAATGCTTGCCAAAAATGGGGTGGTGCAATCGTATTGTATGTTTGGATACCGTTAAAAATTTTATCCTCGCCAAAGATAGTGGCAACTTCTTTTCACCAAAGTGGTGTGACGAAATGCTATGCATGACTCTTGGATATTGTGTTTCACTACACCAATATTCTTTTACACTATTTGGTGTTAAATTGTAATTTATAATTACATTAAAATACAGTTAAAAAAATAGTTACATTAAAATTTATAACTACAGTAAGATAAGATACATATAAGAGTCAGTAAAGTTATTTTCGCACTACAATAAAAATCAACAACCCTTAATTCAGAATGCACGATATACACGAATTCTTAAAATAAAATTCGTATGTAAATCGAGCATCCGCGCGTTACGCAGAAAGAATCTTAGGACTAATTCGAACTAAACTAAACAAACACCGGATAGAAATTACGCATCATAAAATTAGTTAATACAGTTCTCAGATATTTAAAAATTAATATATGATTTTCCTTATTACACAATAAAGAACCATACATGCATAAATAGCGGCAATTTTTGTTTCTGTTTTAAAATGACGACCAACTCTCTCCAACTCATTCCAGATTGTAAACAAACTACTGACTTTATTCTGCTTGGCGTTTCTTGAAATTCAAAACACGCCAACATTGGTGTTTTCAGAAGAAAAAATAATTTTTATAAGGTGTAAAAGCGTGAGAGTTTGGTGTAAGATCATTCAGTTATAAGCGTTTAGATTTAAATTACATCCTTCAAATCGCATATGAATACTCGATTTGGTGTTAAACCGGAATAAAGTGCTCTTTCACATAATTTTTTTGGGTTGTTCAACATCAGATTCGGAGAGATATTACACCAGTTATTACAGTGTACGCTGTTCTGTTACTATTATTTTAATTTATCAATACTATATATTTAATTTAATATAGATTTCTTAATGGACATCCTTTTATTGCAAGTAATTTTATATTTATTTTCGATGTATCTTTGTTATTAATTTTTAAGTCATTTTAACAATAAGCATAACTAAATAATAAATCTATTACTTAATCAGCCTAACCAAAAAGTATTATTTATTTAGTGATTAGAAGTTATTAAGCTTATTAAGTATTACTTATAAGCATTAATTATTAAGTGAAGAGTTTATATTAAATAATAAATAAAATATAAACATTAATTAATTAATAAAATATAAACTTTAGTTAATAAAATATAAGCATTAATTAATAAATAAAATATAAACATTAATTTATAAATAAAATATAAACTTTAGCTAATTAATAAAATATAAGCATTAATTAATAAATAAAATATAAACATTAATTTATAAATAAATTTTAAACACTTGCAAATAATTCATTTACGGTTACTTTTCTTCATTTCTCCTATTTGGTGAGAACATTTTGCAAATCATAACTTCAATTTTGTTTAACAATAAATATATATGCTATTTAAAAANTACAAGTAATTGATTACTGTAATCAAGAAATGTAATCGATTACATTTTTGGCCAACTCTGCTTTATTCTACTTGGCGTTTCTTGAAATTCAAAACACGCCAACATTGGTGTTTTCAAAAGTATAAATAATACTTGTAAGGTGTAAAAGCATGAGAGTTTGGTGTAAGATTATTCAATTATAAGTGTTTAGATTTGAATTACATCCTTCAAATCATATATGAATACTCGATTTGGTGTTAAACCGGAATGAAGTGCTCCTTCACATCATTTTTTTGGGTTGTTCAACATCAGATTCAGAGAGATATTACACCAGTCTTTACAGTGTACGCTGTTCTGTTACTATTATTTTTAATTTATTAATACTATATATTTAACTTAATAGATTTCTTAACGGACATCCTTTTATTGTAAGTAATTTTATATTTATTTTCGATGTATCTTTGTTATTAATTTTTAAGTTATGTTAACAATAAGCATAACTAAATAAATGTATTACTTAATTAGCCCAACCAAAAAATATTGCTTTTATTGATAAACATAAATTATTAAAGGAAAAGTTTATATTAAATAATGAATAAAATATGAACATTAATTAATAAATAAAATATAATCATTTGTTAATTAATGGAATATATGCATTAATTAATTAATAAAATATAAACATTGATTAATTAATAAAATATAAACACTAGTTAATAAATAAAATATAAACATTANTATTAGTTAATTAATAAAATATAAGCATTAATTAATAAATAAAATATAAACATTAATTTATAAATAAATTTTAAACACTTGCAAATAATTCATTTACGGTTACTTTTCTTCATTTCTCCTATTTGGTGAGAACATTTTGCAAATCATAACTTCAATTTTGTTTAACAATAAATATATATGCTATTTAAAAAAAAGTTTTTTTTTGCGTACCCCATAGCGTAAGTGCCCTCTATGACTCTATTTGTCGAATTGTAAATCTTTTATTAAAAAAAAAAGTAGAAAATCAAAATCATCACTGAAACATAATTCAAGTTGAAAGCGTAATAATGAAAATAATAAGTTAATCTTCATTTTTACAAATCTGTAATTAACGCGCATAAATCAAGAACTTCCGCACGCGATTATCAATAAATAATGAGGTCCATCATAACAAATTCTCCCACACGCTAAAAGAAAACGAATGCAAAATAAATACTCACAGCAGAAAAAAAGGAGGAAAAAAAAAACCCAACAAGGCATTCATTGGCGGGATTAATTTCTCATTCATGTTTATTTGATGCCGCTATCCATTAATCCGAAATCTTCCTCCACGCAATTCTTAAAAAACGCGCGTCAGCTCATCGGAGGCGCGGACCACTGACGAAATGATTTCGGCCCAGCAGGTGTTTAAAGCCTGCCTACGGAGGAACTGTCACGTATACCATTGGAATACTATAAAGAGCGCCGGCGCGCCTTTGGCAATCGTTTGGCTGATACCTGACGATCCGGAAGTGACGAGTCGGAATGCGAGGATTGTATCTTCATCTTCTGCTGTTCTTTTTCTCACACAGCATGGCATCTAGAACGCCGGTATCTCCTCTTGGTTGGTTGTAAGTACTTCAATTTTACTATTGTAGTATTATGCAATTATTATTTATGTATCTATATATATATTTTTTTTATCTAGTGTTGAATTTCGTTTGCACTATTATTTCTATTTTATCATATTTAATCATAATTTTTCTTAATCAGTTTCATTTTTACTTTCGCTATTTATTTATTATCGCTTGCTTTTTTGATATTATCGTATATTTTCGATAAGTCATATTTTTACTATTAGGTATGCATTTAAATGTTATCAATGAATAAATAATTTAAAAACTAGTTGTACTTTAAAAAATTGCAAAATATTACTTCTCAAATTAATGTGCTTGCTTGGGAATTTAAATAGGAATTTGTATAAATTAAATTTTCATTAAAAAAACTTTACAATTTAATTAAATTTTAGTAATTCAAAAAGTGAAAGTTATTCTTTCACACTTGAACTTAATGTTTGTTTTTATTTATATTTTTATAAATTCCACCTTATTTGTTGTTATATTTAATTTAATTAACTTTGATTAATTCAAAAAGTGGAAGTTAGTCAAATTTCAGGGGGCAAATTAATATACATAAATATAACTTTTAGAAATTGAATTCTGGGAAAATTGAATTTATATGCGATGAAGATGTATTCCTATAAATCAAATTTTAATTAATTAAGCACAATTATACATACTTTTAGTTAAATAAAATTCGAGCAATTCAAATAATTGAAACTAGTTGAATTGAAATTATTATTCTGAATCATAATGCGGTTGTTATGAAAGTATGCCAATTCCATTTTGGAAATTGTGATTAAAATTAAAAATTTTTTTAAAAAAATTTATGTAAGATTCATAACTTAATCAGTTAATAAATTTTGGATTAAAATTAATCGTTGCACCGCAAGTTAAGTAATTTATATCAGTAGTTGTTTAATTGATTTTAGGTTTAAGTTTAAACACACTTTATTAAAAAAAAGAATAGTTAGGTCATTAGAAAATAAGGAGATTCAATTTTAATTTAATATTAGCTTGCTAATGTGTTAAAAAATTGTGTTAAATAATAACTGCCATTAATTTTAAGTTCAAATATTTGTTTAAAACTTTTTTTGCTACGATATTTACTAAATCAATAAATTGCCTGTTAAAATATTTCGAACTCCAACTTTTTACCCGTTTAGGAGTTATAATTAATATTATCTAAAAACTATTTTATCAAGTCAAATTTATTTAAATGCAAACACTATTTGCATTGGAAGTCTAATTGTATTATTTGCACATATCAGAAAAATATAATACAATTAATATAATACAATTAGAGACTTGTATTAATTGTATTACTAGTGTATTATATTATAAACTAGTTTTAAATTATTTTTCAGTGAATTTTTTTTAAAATTATTTTTACGTGAAAACTAGTTTTAATACCTTCCTTGACCTTATTGACTTAATAAGTGATTGGTTAGATTTCAAAACGTTTTTTTTTTTTTTTGAATGTTAAAAAGCGTTAACGCAGCGCAGCTGATTAGCAATTTGTCACTTTTTACTTATTGTTAATTTTTTTTAATTAAATTTTCATGAGGACTCAGAAAGCACTGATTCAAAATATTATAATTAATTGAAAAATTATTCAAATTAAAAAATATCATACTTAATTTTTTTTGTTTTTTACTGACTTAAATTAACTTATAAATTTAACTAGTCATATTTATATATCTCACAGTATTTCTAAACTTTAAAAAAATAAAGAACAAATTAATTCTGAAAAATTTATTTCTGACGCAATTTATAAACGCAATTTGTTTCTGGAAAAAAAATCAAAAATATTAGAATAAAATTTTATGTGATCCAAAATATTATAATATTTAATTATGAACACTAAAAATAAATTATAAATAGAGAAAAAAAAGTTACTTAACATTTTGTAGCATCGCCTTTATCTTTGATCATGGCAAATAAGCGCTCTTGGCGGTATTTTTTGTCCACATAAGCTCAAGAAGACTTAATTCTCTCCACTTATCTCAGTTTTGTTTGCAAGAGCAACTTCTTTCAGTTCTTTCCTTACTATTCTCCATAAATTTTGAATGGGATTAAATTCTGTTGAATTAGCTTGCCACATCTAGTATTGTAATTTCACGCCACTCCAGTCAGATTTTAGTTAATTTTGATGCAAGAAGTGAATCTAAATTGTGTTGGAAGATAAAGTCATCCTTAAACAAGTCTTCTAGCCATGGAATCATATAGTGCTTGAGAATATCTTCATAAATATCTGAATTAACTTTTTCTTTTAGAATGCATACCTTTCCAGGTCCGTGTGTGTTCCTGCAATTCCCACTAACAGCAAATTTTACTAAACATTTCAGGCTCTCTTTATTAAATGCTTTTTGTTTTATTCTCTAAACTTGAACTCCTCGATTGCCAAACGAGACATAGAAAATACTTTCGTCTCTAAATATATAGTTTTCAAATCGCCCAAGTTCCATAGCAATCTTGATTTGTACCATATCATTCTTACAAGCTTTTGTTTTAGAGTCATAAGTGGCTTTATTGTTTGAACATAAGATTAAAACTTACATTTATGAAAATGATTCAAAAATATTAATTCCTTCTTTCCATTTCCCATGCAAATATCATACACTCCTGAATCGATTATTTTTTTATTATAGTCTTCAGCTTTTTTGTCGCCTCTGACCGAATTCACCATTGCCACAATTATTTCTAAACTTTTCATTCTTCCAATACTGTTGTAAGATTCTGCATACGCTTGGAGTTTAGTTAAGTTAAAATGTATTGTTGATTTTTACCTTGTAAATCTAAGTTACTAACTTGTTTTATTTATTCTGTAATATCGCGTAAACATCCTATTTAAAAACAATTTTCAAGCATTAAACAAAGAAAAGAAGTCTTTTGCAAATTGTCGTCTGCACTAAATTTAAAATTCTCCTAATATACTCGTAAAATTATTAAAAACAAAGATTATTGTAACTTATTTTAATAATTTAGACCAATTAAATAAAAAAATTTAATAATTTGAAGTTTATTTATTTATTTTATTTATTTTTGCTTGAAAATAGATTCCTCACAAAAATATCGTTTGCAAATATGCATAATGTGATATTTAAAAATAAAGTATTTTATTTTTATTGGATGAGAAAAGTGAATATTCTAATGCTTTGAATCAAAGTCGTATATATATTATTAGTATCGGAGTTCTCTGTATTTTGGTGGAAAATGGAGTCAAGCTATTTATATTCAAATGAAATTTTAATCAAAATTATTTGAATTCATGAACAAATCATTGCTTAATGTCCAAACTTTCAGAAATCAGGTAAGAAAAAGAAGAGTTTTTTTCTTCTTCGAAAACTAAAGACTGATATTATCTTAATATTCAGCATTTAAAGTAAAGTTTCTTTTATTACCAAAACCACTTTAGAATGTTGAAAGCTAATGCAATCGTGGTACTTTACTTCAGAAATAATAACATTCCTTACGCAATATGAGGTAAAGTAAGTTTGTAGATGTTTTGACGTAACAAAAAAAAAAAAAAAAAAAAAAAAAAAAAAAAAAAAAAAAAAAAAANAAAAAAAAAAAAAAAAAAAATACTAGCTCCAATAAAGTTAAATTTAGATGAGAAGTAACATGAATTTACCTCTTTTGTCTATAAAGTATTATCTTTTTTATACTTAAACTATTATTAGTTATAGTTTTATACTTAAACTATTTACACTGAACTTGCGCAATAAAAATAGAACTTTAACCACTTCCTACAATAGTAAAATCTTAAATATATTCTCAATAAACAATGATAATAAAAAAGGAAATAAATCTTGTGTTCAAACTTCTTTGCTCGTTAGATTTGGTTAGTTTTAAGACGAGGACTGGTATTTGAATGTATGGGGCTTGCTCTACAATTCGCTGCCCCCTGAACGAAGAGTAAAGTGTCGAAAATATTTATTCTGCAGATTATCTAGCGAATGAGCAGATTCACTAAGATAATCCGTTAAAGTGCCAGAAATTGTTTTTTTTTTCTCAAATTACCTAAGTAGTCTGAAAACTTCAGATATAATTTGCTCATTAAAGTGAAAATAAGATATTTATTGAAAAAACAGAAATGTTTCGATATGTGAAGAATAATTATTTATTTTTTACTATCTAAAAAAGCAGGTTACTTCAATAAAATAATCAACACATTAGTTAATAGAATCAATCATTTTAAAACCTATAATTACAAGTATCATAAGGTTTGAAATATTATTATAATTAAGGAATTTTACATAATTCAAAATAATCAACAAATTAGTAGATAGAATTATAGAAACAAAATATAACTATACGAAAGTCGTTAATGTGCCAAAAATATTATTTCATTTCAAAAAATTACGTAAGCAGTCTGCAAACTACCTAGATAATCCGCACATAACCTACTCGTGAAAGTGAAAGTAAGGTCTTTGCTGAAACAACAGAAACATTTCAAAACGTTATTTATTTATTGAATGTTAGAAAAGTCGTGCAATTAAAATTTGATTTTGTTCAAATTTTGTATTTTGCCTTGTAAAATTAGATACTTTAAAATGATGTAAAAAATTGTACACCTTACAATTCGAATTTTTTTTTAATATTGTTAAAAATAAAACATAACAAATATTTATTGAAATTTATCTTTTGCGTTGCGTGGTATTATCTTTAGACAAACGAATTTTATAGTTGTTCGCAGAATTTTTTCAATTCACTTCAAAAGTTCTGGAATTACGGCAAAATACGCAAAATGTAAAATTTATATTAAGGGGACCAAAGTTTGGATCACTTTCCTAACCAAACTATGGGGACCATATTTTTGAGATTGGGACTACCCTCTATTGACTGTGACTACCTATTGGGGATTAGAAATCCGAATCCTTTGGAAAGAAGTATGTTTATCCAGAGAAATTGCATTTTTGTGTCCGATTTCTTACTTTAAAATATCGTCCACACTCATTAATTAGCATATTTGAGGTCACCCCCTCGAACCATTACGATTGAGCCCTAGA